GCAACCTCGGCAACCTCTTTCGAGCTGATTGAGGACCAGACGCTCACCGCGGAGGAGGTGGAAATGGCCAGCCAGGAGGCCCAGGAAATCCGCACACGCGAGGCGGCAGTGGCGGCTGGCCTGGTGTTGGACGAGCCCGAGGCCCCCCCGTCGGCTTCGGCTACCGACGTGATGAACGACCTCTCCAGTGCACTGGAGCGTCTCCGCGTGGCGTTTGCCACACCGACTTCCGGCTTGGGTGCCCCTGGCCCCGCCGAGGAGGAGGACAAGGACATGGACGATGCGGACGCCACGGAGCGGGCTACTCCACCCACGAAGAGGCTGAAGGGTTTCGTGGCGGCTTCCCAGAAGACCACGGCTCAGGTGAACAAACCGGTCTCCCTTGTGCCGGTGGAGGGCCGTCCCGGCTACTTCAAGTTAGTGGACCTCCCAGACCTTTTCCCGGTCCTCCCGGCATCGGCGGCCACGTTGCTGAGGGACGTCACGGTGGAGGAGGCGGTCTCCCTGTTCCACAAGTTTGTCGGGAAGAATCTCACGAAGGAATTGGTGATTCGCATCCTGGAGGCCTATGTTCCGATGAAGATCCAGATCCGGCAGGAGGAGGTCTGGGCCTCACAGTTCCAGAGGAACAAGGCGTGCATTGGCACCCAGCGGATGCACAGACTCGATGCCGGCCACTCGGATTACAAGTTCATGTGCAAGGCATGCGGCACGGGGTGGCCGGAGGCAGCCAAGCAATGCTGGGTCTGCCCAGGCAAGGAGTTCGTCCCCTTCCAGGCACCCTCGGCTACCTATGAGGCGGACGGCGTCACTTACAACCTGCTCATTGTGGAGGGCAAGCCGACCTGGATCCAGCAGCGGAAAGGGGGAAGCCTGGGTGCCACTGGCCCCGGTGGTACCCGGGCACAGGCAGACCGCAACCTGGTGGACGGCACGGTCCTGGGGAGAGCTTTTACGAAAACGGACACGGCAGAGGAGATTACCATGGCAGACGTGGTCCCGCTCAACAGGCGGGTGGACATCCGGCAGGAGATCCTGTCCATGGAGGCGGACGACGAGGCGTTGAAGGTCCGGGAGTGCCAGCTCTACCACCCCCAGGTGGACCAGGCGATCCGGAAGAAGGAGGAGCTGCATAAGGCCTTGAGGGAGCACCGGGAACCGACCCCGGAGGAGTCCTCGGCCAGGCGGCGGCACAAGGAGTTGGTCACGGAGGAGATGCTGGACAATGAGATGGCCATCCTGGCGCCTCTCCAGGGCATGCAGGCCCTGCCGTCAGAGGAGGTTGCCAATGAGGGAGCCCGGGCCCTCAGGAAGCCAGGCACTGGCTGAGGCGATGGGCTCCATTCAGGTTCACTTTCAAGTACATCTACTCGGCCTGGACCACCTTCCCGCTGATCGTGAAGACGCAGCGCCGGGGCCGCAATGCGGAGGGCTCGGCCTCGGACAAGTGGATGGGCAACATCCTCCAGATGAGGAAGGAGGCGGTGCCCTTCCTGGAGAGCCTGGGAATCCCCAAGCCGCGCAGCAAGGCGGAATGGAGCTACATCTTCAAGGAGATGGGGACGTTTCTGGCGGCCAAGAATTTCATCGTTAACTGCCCGTTGCCGGTGATAGAGATCCCAGTGGCCCCCGTCCACGACAGCAAGGAGGCGCTGCGTTTCGTGACGAGCGAATCACCCTTCCGCTGTCATCGCTGAGGGCTTTCGACTTGCAAGCTGGTGTCGGGCCTGAGTAAGTCCTCCATGGTGGAGGTGAAGGTCAACTGGCGTTGCAACGTGGTCCATGACTGGGTCGAGCAGGTCCCGCAGGAGGTGGCGGGGGCCCTGCACGACAGGCTCATCAGGCAGCTGGGTTGCTCCCCCCCCTTGGGTGCCTCTGGCCCCGGGGGAGGAGCGGCCAAGGTAAGATCCTGGGGGGGGCGGACACCACGCTCCGCACGCCGGACCAGGGCACCAGGCGGTACCCGCCAATCACCACGTCCACGGTCACGGCGGTCGCGGGCATCAACAAGCACTTCCCCAAGGAGACGAAGCACGTGTTTTGGGCCTCCGTGGAGTGCGGCTTGGTCCTGCCCAGCATCAGCGCCTGGGAAGTGGTGGGCAAGGAGAAGTTCAAGACCACCGGGGGCTACATGTGCAGGTTTTGCAAGGGCTTCTGGAGGGCGAGCCGCGGGGGGACCAGGCTGCTCCAGATCACGGGGTGGCACAAAGACAAGGCCACATGCCTGCAGCTGGTGATGGACGAGCCCCCGGAGCAGCTATATAATCAGTGGATCGGGACAGGATGGAGTTCTACAAGCGGGTGGAGCCGACGGAGCCTCCCAGGGACGAGCGGCTAGTCCTTGGCGACGCGAGCACCCCGCGCATGCGCTTCAGCTCCTCGAATGGCCTGGGGGATGTCTCCACTGCCTTGTGGTTGGTCATTTTGAGCAACCCGGAGAAGTCAGGGCTGGCGGCCATCCACTCGGTGGCAAAGGAGGCGATCTTGAAGGGTGAGAGCCGCTAGGTCGTGTCTCACAACCCTTTTGGATGTGGAGTCGTGAGATCTCTTCCCACCGGGACTTGGGTGCCTCTGGCCCCGTCGGGAGGAGTAAGGGTGTCTCCCTTTTTGGGTTCATCTTTCAACTGGGTTTCCCCCCTGTTCAACACGTCACGACTGCCAGTTTGCCTCGATCTGGAGGCTGCACGCTTTGGCGCGCCAAGGACGGGCCCTGTCGGCCACAGTTTGGAGAAAGTGGCTGCGGCTGACTCTGGGTTCCCTGAGGTCCCCTTGGGGGTTTTGGGGAATCCCCCGCCGGGTTGGTCTTCCCCCCTCCGTGTTCTTTTTGGGGATTTCCGGGGGTTGACTTTTGGGTCCTGTTGGGCTGCATGTGGCCTGCCTGCCCCATTTGCACTCGGCATCCTGCGGGGTTGGAACATGCGTGCAGTGTGCCGCGGTTGGGTCCCGGCCGTTCGATAGGAGGCTCGAACCCCCATTTTCATCATGGCTAGGGTCTCTACAAAGTTTCTTTTGCGCCCGCCTTACACTCGTCTTTGGGACCGCATTCCAAGGGTCCTGTGGGACACGTTGGCGGATGAGTCCTTCTCCCCGAGACAGACGGACGGGGAGTTGCTGGTCCTGATGTGCCTGCGCCATGGCACGGCAGAGGAAGGGAGGCAGCTGGGCGGGGAGCCGGCCATCCGCTTCGCTCAGCTCCTGGAACTCTCGGGCATTCCGGTGGGCCAAGACGATCAAGTGGTACCAACGGACTACTTCAACGGCCTGGTGGCGTCGGCGGCGGGCAGGCTTCCCCAGCCTTTGTCCGCGGCGGACCTGGCCGACCTTTGGGATAGCCTATGGTTCCTCCTCATGGCGGCTGCGGATGGCAAGCCGAGCGAGAACTTTTCCCCGCTGGAGAATGAATGGGACCGCCAGGACCAACTGAGGTGGTTCTCGCGAGATGACCCACTCCCACTCCAACAGCCGGAGCTTCTGAAGTGGAGGCACTGGCGTCCCGGGAAGATCAGGGAAATGGAGCCCACGACCCAGCGAGCGCTGGAACTCCATATGCGCGGAAAATGGGCGGAACGGCTCCTTGCCCACTTCGCCCCCTTTGCGGAGCACATTGCATACATGCAGCACATCCTGGGGGAGGACTTCCGCAAGGAGGCATTGGACCTCTTGGGGGACAGCAGGTTCCGGACGCTCAGGCAACATTGCCTGGTCTACGAGAGTCTCCGCAAGAGAGGCTTCACCGTGATTCCATGGCAGGAACGACATGTCCGCTCTCTCCTCAACCAGCTCGCCGATGAGGAGGTCACCCCGTGCAAGTTGCGGCAGGTGTGGAACACCCTCAAGTGGTTCTCAAAGACCTTCGGATTGCTGAAGATAGATGAGCTCCATCGCCTCAAGTCCAAGAAGAGCTCATTGGAAGAGGCGCTCACGGACACGGTCACCAGGCCACAGCGTAAGGCTACGATCGCCTGGGTGCCACCGGCCCCGGCACGCAGGAGGCTGCGGGAAAGAGCAGACACGAGGTGCTGGACGCTTTCATCCTGGGTTTCGCCCGGTTCCAGGTTGGTTGCAGCGCTCGCTTCAATGACCTCCAGCATGTTCACCCCAAGGACCTTATCCACACCAGCAACACTGTGGAGCTGAAGGCCTGGCAGACCAAGACGGTCTCAGCAGCACGAATCAATCGCAACCCGGTCCCCTTGATTGCTCCGAAGTACAGCTTCACGGGGATCCCCTGGTGGACTACCTGGGTGGCCTCGGTAAGGCGGTTGGCATCCGAGGAGGCATTCCAGGACATGGATTACTTGCTCCCGACGGTGAGCAAAGACTTTGCAGGGCTGATTCCGAGGCCTTCCACACCGGAAAGGGCTCTGAGATGGCTCAAGGATGCTATTCTCCGTCGGGGTGTCACCCCGGGGTTGGTGAAGCCGCTGTCGTGGCACTCCCGGACTGCGCCTTCCAGATGGGGATCCCCCGGGAGCGCCGCATGTACCTTGGCAACTGGCTCACGGAGAGCACGGCAGATGTCTACGTGCGGGAGAAGCGCAACGTGGTTGTGGAGATCTGGGGCCAGGTAGCGCAGAAGGTCCCCAACCTGAACCTCGGGCCAGGCAGGGAACGCAGGGGACTTGAATCACCCGGACTGGGCGGACCCGCTCCCGCCGCCAGCAGTGGACATCACGGATGCAGGACCGGAGGGCCGTGAGGACCACACCGAAAGGGAAGGGGAGGCATCCCCTTCGGTACCCTCAGGGAGCGCGCCATCGGCTCGCTCATGGTCAGTGGTGGAACACGGACCCGAGGACACACCAGTGAAGGCCAAGGACCTGTTTCCCGCCACCCCGGACCTCCCCCTTCGGGTGGTGGCGGCGGTCAAACGCACAGGCAACGCCGGCCAGTCCAGAATCCACCTGCTGAATGTCGAAGGCACGGCTGTGGGGTGTGGTTGGCGACCGGCGGCTTCTAAGGTCCAGGAGCTCTCGGTGCTGGACTACATGACGGAGCAGGAGGCCTATGGCAAGTGCGAACGTTGCTTCAAGAGGCATGGCTTCCCGGCGGACTGGGCACTGGAACCTGCGGAGGTCCCCACGCTGGAGGACTCGGACTCCTCGGCGGACTCGGGCTCTGAAACGGATGACTCGGTGGACACCCAGTCGGAGACCGAGGTGGTGGCCCTACCGTTGGCAGCCTAGGTGCCCCCGGCCCTGGCGACCAAGGGGATGGGAGGCCCGGAGTGGGGCTCTGGCCAGGGCCCTCAGCACAGACTGGCATCCTTCGGAAATGGCGGGTGTGCCAGACTGTCCTTCGGAAATGGCGCTATCAGTCTGCACACCCGTTCTTCAGTTTTTGAGATTGTGAGTTGGGTGGCCCATGGGGCCCACCCAGCCTTTGACATCTGACAGGGGAAGATGAGTCCCTGGCACCAACACACTGCTCGGATAAAAGAGTTATCGCGTGCTTGTGTGTGGTGCCGTTTGGTTAGCTTGCATACACTTTGTTAATGTTGAAACGCATGTGGAAACATGAACTGTGTTGGCAATGCTTGACCACAATGGCGCATGCCATTTTGGCTCAAGCTTTGCCCTGGGTTCTTTGAACCCAATTTGTGTGAAAAACCCACCCACCCACACCAAGGTCGGAGGTCATGGCGGCCAAACCACCAGAGGAGGTCCCAGCGGAGTTCAAGGAGGACGTGGCAAAGTTGCACAAGCCACTGGAAATCCCCTGGGCCACCCAGGCGGCTCTGGGCGCATCGGGATACGTCACGGTGGAAGACCTGGCGGATCGCTGGGACACCCCGCCGGCGGCTAGGGAGAATGGTCCCCGGGACCTGGGATTCCGGGATGGGGAGAACGGGTTCAACGCCCAGACCTTGGCCTTCACGGCGATGCGCCTCCTTCAGGCAGTTCGGGTGGCAGCCAACTTGGTCCGGGGGGGCAACCAAGGTGATCACCCGGCGGGCCAGGCGGGCCCGACAAAGGCGCCCTTGGAGGTCCTGTGTGACGGGCGCCAGCTGGAGGATGCTTACGTGGCCACGCATGGGACCCCGAAGCCGAGGTTGGAGTTCCAAGGGAGTGATGGCTACCTCAAGAAGCAGTGGCGCATGATTGCCAAGGGTGAGCTGGGCTACATCCCGGCAAAACACATCGTGAGCGCGCTCCCGGAAGAAGGGGAACGCCCCTCATCCACCCACAAGAAGATCACGGTGGACGGCTGGGACAGGGAGGATGAAGAAGAGGTGAGGAGCCACCCTACATCCCGGCGCCAGCTGGAACGATTGCACCTAACCTTCAGGACGACGCTCCTGATGTGCACGGCAGCACTGCCACAGTTTGGCAACCTGAAGGTCACCAAGGAGGAGCTGGATGATTGGTATGCCTGGTTCTATGGGGAAGACATCGCCGGCAGGAAGCCTCCCCCGAGCGACACCACCTTGCTGTTTGCAGAGCGCAATGCATGGCGCAAGATCCACGAGATGGTGCACCAGGGCACCACTCTCTCCGATGCCCTCAAGAATATCAGGGGCGACTTCCTCTTCTGGCAACGGGAGGTCTATGAGCACCTCAACAGGGCGCCGGAGAAGGGGAAGAGCAAGAGCAAGGCACCCAAGGTGTGGCAGACTCAGTGGGAGAAGCCCAAGAAGGGGGGGAAAGGTTCCTGGCCCTCGGGGCCGACCCGGTCCAAGCCGAAGGGCAAGGGCGGCAAGGGGAAGTCCCCCAACACCCCCTCGGTTCCATGGCCGGACCACTGGGCTTTCAAGAATCCCAAAGGGGTGGCGTACTGCAGAGATCCTCCCCTCCACAACAAGTGTTCGGGATCATGCGGCCGATCCCACAACTGCCCGGACAGGAAGGATGGGTGCGATGCCCCCCCATCGCATGTGCCACAGGCATGCCCTCACCTTCCCAAGTGACAGGAGGCCACTCAGGGTGCCATAGGCTTCCCGGTCTCAGTTGGGACCACAGGCCACCAGTGGGAAGACCCCCCAGAGAGACCCAGAGGTGAGGTCCGCCCGGCAAGGGGCGTTCCAAGGGCGGGAAGAACCGCCAGGGCAAGCAGCAAGCCCAGGGACAGATGACGGGAGGGTTAGACAAAGGACACACGGAATCTCTAGGGGGGGCAAGCCCCACCTTCCCATGGATGCAGGACATCCCAGAAAGACTGAGGCTCAGACTGAGGTGGACGCCACGTCCGGTGCCGGAGTCGTCAAAGCCGTCCCTCATCCTGCTGTACGCTGGGAAGGATGATGCGGGGGCCCTGGATGCTTACCTCCATGCCTACAACCCGGCCTTCTCGGAGTACATTTGGGCGGTGGACATCAGGCGAAAGGGTGGAGACCTTGGACAGGACATGCTGGAGAGGAGCCTTACTCTACGATGTGCTCCATGGCCATGGCGGGCAAGGTCGCCTTGGTGGGGGGCGGCCCCAACTGCAGGACGTGGAGCATCCTCAGATGGTTCCCCAAACCGGGTGGCCCGCCGCCGGTGAGGGGCAGAGCAGAGCAGACCCTGTGGGGCTTAGGGGGAGCCCCGGGTGATGGAGGACACGGACAATGACAGCGTGCTCATGCTCCGACAGATGTACCTGACCTCGCTGGCCTACAAGGGGCTAGGTCAGCTAACGGTCCCGCAGGTGGGCTCCTCCTTCTTGGAGCACCCAATGGACCCAATGGAGTGCAGCAAGAGCCCGAGCGCAGCGAGGTGCTCATCGATCTGGGTCACACGGGCCTACATTCAATGGGCGAACGCACTCCACCACTCCCTCATCAAGTTTGACGAGTGCCGCCTGGGCCAGGTGGTGGTGAAGTCCACGACATTGTCAACGGACCTTCCCCTTCACCATTGGCATGATCTGCGTTGCAACCACGGGGCTCACCCCAGGCGGAAAAGCTCAACTCCAGTGACCTCAGCCGGTACCCAGAGCAGATGATGCAGGGTCTCGCAGCGGCCATCCTTTGCCGAGCGGGACCCGTCCTGGAGGCGCTGAGGCCGGGGGGCACGGTGCCCCAGGCGAACCCAACGACCCCCCCGAGGCGGCAGAGGGAACCTTCTCCCAGCACGCCGGGGGACAACAAGCGCCAGTCCCGGAGGCTGAAGGCTGGCCAACAAGCGTTGGCGGGACTAACCTTGGGCTCACTTCCGGTCTCGGCCTCGGACAATCCGGAGGTCCGGACACCGACACAGAGGACTGGCGAGACGGACGAACTTGGGGGGGGAACTCTTTCCCCTGAGACATGGGCACACCATGGCATGGAAATCTCGGATCGGCCCACCATCCTGCCGATCACGCACGACCCCAATCTCCGACAAGGTCATGTACCTCCAGATGGCCTTCAAACAGCGCCCCCTAAGGGACGGAGGGGGTAAGCCCTCATTGGGACGGTTGGCCCCATGGACCCGGCCACTGTCCAAAGCAGCAGCGTTGGGGGCCAAGATCTGTGTCCTCACCTCGCCATGGGGGGACAAGCTCCAGGAGTCGCTCTCGTTGGGGGATGGGTCACATCCCTTCCCGGAGGACCTGCTGGAGGATATTAGGGCGAAATTCTGGCGCCGGGGGCAGGCCGACCAGCTGACGGCCAACCCTTCTTCCTGGACATCTTGCACAGCGTGGCGCTGAACATTCAGGACCCCGACCACCAGTTTCCCCGGGATCTGGCCACTCAAGAAGGAGCTGAAGGGGGAGGAGCCGGAGTTCCAGGAACTTCCTCACCCAACGGGCAGGGGTAACTACCCTTCGGCGGATCACTTCAGCGAGCTCATCCGGGGCACATTCCTGGAGGAGGTCCCCATGGGCATGGTAGAGGGCCCCTTCACTAAGGTGGAGGCAGCATCACGCTGTGGCTGCGAAATCGAGGACCTTTGTCCCGGCCCCCTAGCGGGCATCGACGAGGGGGACAAGATCCGCACCATCTACGCTGGCTCGGTGGGCGGGGCCAATGACACCATCAGGAACCAGACGGTGGAAAGGACGACGGCTCCGACGGTGCTGGATGGGGTACAAGCTCTTCATTGGCTACATGCGGCAGCTGCGGAGGGACCCCCCTCTCAGGGTGCCCCTGGCCCCGAGAGGGGGGTCGTCAAACCTCCACCTGGGGGCTGGCTGTGGCCGGAGCCGGGCACCAGGTGGGTGCTGCTCAAGGCGGACGTCACCAAGGCCCACCGGAGAGTGAAGGTCCTCAGGAAGGACTGGCGGTTCCAGGTGGCTTCACTGGGGGAAGAATGGTGGGTGAACAAGGTAGGCACATATGGCATGGCCAGTGCCCAATCCTACTGGGGACGCCTGGCAGCCCTTCTACTCAGGGTCCTCTACGCACTTTTCCCTCAAGTGGATTGGAACTTCGTCTTTGTCGATGACTTCCTGTGGCTGCTTCGAAGCGAGGGGGCAGTAAACTTGGCGGTGGCGCTGCTGGCAACACTCCTGGCCTTGGGCACCCCGCTTAGCTGGAAGAAGACGCATTTGGCGGAGGTTAACACGTGGCTGGGTTTCGTGGTCCACCCGAACATCCCGCAGGTTCTCATGGCCGCCAACAAACACATCCTGGTTATGGAGGTTTTGCAGACCATGGTGGAAGGGCAGGCGATGCACTCAAAGGACATCGAGAAGGCCCTGGGTCGCATCCGGCTGCATATCCGCTGGCGAAGTCGATGCTCCAGCCACTTTGGGCCTGGAAGATGGCCACCACGGTGGGGAAACCCCCCAAGGTGGTCAGGATGCTGGCGTTCATGCTGCGGTTCCTCTTCAACACGCCTTTCGTCCAGTACTCCCCTTACTTGCCGAAGTCCTCTTGGTGGGGTTGCAGCGATGCTAGCGCCTCGGACGAAGGACTGGCATTTGTGGGAGGTGGTGCTCCAACAAAGTGGAGCCGGAAAAGAAGGAGGTGTACTGGTTCCACGAGCAGATCCACGTGGAGGAGTACCCTTGGGCATTCAAGAATGGGGATCCCAAGCGGAGGATTGCGGCTCTGGAGATGCTGGGCACGCTCTTCCTCTGTAACATGATCCTCACGCACCAAGGCCCTCTGTCCTCCCGGGTCCGACTCCCGGTGGGCAGTGACAATCAGGGCAACGTCATGGCGATGCTCAACCTTGGATCCAAGAAGCCCTACACGGCGGCGATCCTGATGGAGCTGGTCTTCCTGCTCCACACCCATGGCTGCTCGCTGGCGGCCAACCACGTGCCCCGTGAATTCAATCAATGGGCTGATGAGCTGACGCACCCAGATTTCTCTGGGTTCCCCAAGCAGGAACTCTGCGAGGAGTTCGTTTTTCTCCCGCGTCTCCTGAATGGAGATGCATTTGATCTTAGCGTGGGCCCACCCATGCTCCCGTGACCGGAGCCGGTGGGTGACTCACTTCCCCTGGTGGCAGACCCCCCTGTGGCCTGGGTGCCACGGGCCCCGGCTCAGGGGCGGGCGCTATCAGTCTGCACACCCGTTCTTCAGTTTTTGAGATTGTGAGTTGGGTGGCCCATGGGGCCCACCCAGCCTTTGACATCTGACAGGGGAAGATGAGTCCCTGGCACCAACACACTGCTCGGATAAAAGAGTTATCGCGTGCTTGTGTGTGGTGCCGTTTGGTTAGCTTGCATACACGTTCCTTTATCCGCCGAGTAGCACCCGTACCTTGTTTGGGCATCATGAAGACAACAGGTATCCATCTCTCGGTCCTTCCAGCTGCTCGTACTGTGGGCAACCGGGCGAACCATGTATGCAGAAGTCCCGGGGGGGGGGGGGGGGGGTGACTTTTGAGGTAGAGGGAAACTTGGGGAAAAGAAAAAAACTGAAAAGGATCCGCCAGCAGACTGAAAGGACGCGGGAAGTCAACATCTGGCAACGCAGCTCAGATCAGGGAGCACAACACATGGCAGAGCTGCGGATAGCCAGTTGTTTGACTTTTTGGTTTGCATGCTGAAATTATTAACCATGACCAACAATCAGGCAGGAAAATGCACAGCCTATTTTTCCCCAAGGCGCCAATGCTTTTCTGGGGCCGTCGGGTTCAGTTTCATTGAGTTTCATGGATTGGAGAGGTCACGAGGCACCCTGGCTCCTGTCCAAAAGTGGTGCCCGGATCGGACCATCAAGCAGAGTTCTTCCTTGCTTCCTCTTTTTGGAGGGTTCTCCTTCTTTAAAGTCAACTGACAGAAAAAAGAGCAGTGCCCTTTTTCCCATGGCCACTGGGGTTCGGTGGAGCTTCTCCGTGCCCCTTCGATTCTTAGACTGTTCTGAAGCAGAGGGTTCCAAGTCTTCTAAGAACGACCAGACCAAAAGTGGGTCGAAAATTGGTAGAAGGCCCCTTTCGCTTCCTTGTCACTGTAAGGGATAGTTCGAATTGGGGTGTTGGGTAGTATGAAACCGAGTTTCCTTGTGATTGTGGACTCATGATAGCAATAAAAGGGGCTGAATGATGACAAACCATGTTTTCCAGTCATAACTCAATGTGGTTGTCAACTACACATCCACAAGAACAACCAACAGACCACCACCGCCACCAGCAAAAACAACACCACAACATCCAGCAACACATCACATGGCCTCAGCTTTCCTAGGCCCGACAGCCGAACTTGAGGTGCCCCTGGCGCGCGTGCGCAGCGACGCGGAGGTGGAGGACCTCTTGGAGCGGCAGCTGAAGGCCGCACAGCAACGGGTGGACCCCGGAACTGGGGGGCGAACTGGGGAGGGGGGGGGGGAAGGAACTCCCTTCTGAAGCGCTTAAGGCCTTATGGGCGAAACTCCAAGTCCGATCTCCGGTGCGGTACATCACGGCCCTCTAGGGGAGGCTAATTAATGGGGGGGGGGGCATATCTCCCGTATCGACCCCTTAAGGCCTAAAAAGAGGGTCTTGTCCTACGTTTATTGTACGCTTATCCATTCGAACCGTAGGGAAGCCAGTCATGTTTCGGCTCCCGCAATTTGTGAGGCATACTCTGGTATGAGTGTGTTTGCGTGTTTGTGTTTTTCAAGGGTACCCTTTGTTATGACTGGCTGAAAGGGAAGTCAAGAGGAAACCACCATTTCACCATTCGGTAAGTACCAATCAGTTAGCGCATGAAACCCCAATTGTGGCCTACCCATTTCCCGTTTGAAATCTTCAAACATGGTTGGGTATGACTACCGATTATTTCTCACTAACTATAGCCCAGCGAGAGATCCCAGCAATGTTAAAATTGGCCTTGTGCATGTGTTGTTACAAGCAATTTGGTGTTTGTGCACGCAGTGAACTCTATATACCTGAAATGTGGCCAATATGCACACCAACGGTATGAACAGTTTATGATAGATACACGCGTGTATGGGCTTCCCGGCCCCCGGCTCTAAGATCAGCACATGGGCTCCACAACCAGAGTTGCAAGACGGCACTGTGGCGCTACAGCATTTACTCTGCAGTGCGCTGCATATCAGAGTTTTGCAACATGATGTGACTGTTGGTGCTTATGTACACACAGCTACTTCAGACATCGCGCGTATTTGCAAAACGGAGTTCGTTCAAAGTGAGCAACTGGTTTGCACATGTTCAGGAAGCGACCCAATGCATTGATCATGGACCTCTACTGGGGGCGGGGTTACAGGGGATAGCCCCTGTTCAAGGCGGATAGGCTTTCCAAGGGCCCTGGGAGGTCCATGAGTTGAACCTTTGAGCACCGAGTGGTTTTTTGGAAGATGTTTGCCAAGCTGAACATTGGCGGCCTTGTTCAGGGTGAAAAAGACGGCGGCTCAACATGTTGGGAGATTGGGGGAGGACGATTTCAGATTGGGTCCGGATCACCCTTACCCCCCCCCCCCCCAATTCACTGTGAGGTGTATTGTCCCTGGTCAGTAGTATGGGACCAGTCCAAAATCGATGTTTCCCCCGTGCATTTTTTTGAAGCCGTCCAACATTAGGCCACAGGTTAGGACACGTGAGGTGACGAGGCAGCCTTTGGCTATTGCGAATCTTTGAAACCATATGAGCCACAATCAAAACCTGGATAGATGAAGGTTAGTAAGGGACAATCCCAACCATAAATAGCTGCGGCCGCCTTCTTGATTCTTTACATGGTTCTGGGTCGACCATTTTAGGACCAGGTTTTGATTATGACTCATATGGTCCTGATTTGTTCAGGGTACCCTTTGGGGGATTGGTTTGAAGGGGAACTGACGGGGAAACTATACAAATGGTCAGCTCCCCAATTTTGAGACATATTCATGTTCAATTCAAACGAGCCCCAACGGCCCACGGACCACGCTCCATGAATCAAAGGTGTCGCAGTTGGGGAAAATTCACTGCCTGGATTAGTAAGAATGGAACACCCTCAGAAATGGGCGGTGGACCTAAATCCCCAAGCGAGCCACAATCCATATTCGTTGTGTTTCCAAGTGGCATGGACATTTGGTGAGCAAACGGTTTGCTCACCAAATGTCCATGCTACTTGGAAATGCAAACCCAATTTCCTTTGGTAGCTTGAGGAGTCTGTGACAGGAAATGGTGGTGAAGATTGGCCGCGCATGCAAGTGATGCCCACCAAATCCCTTCACTTCGAGCTTGGAGAGCTTCCCATCCCACCAGCTGAAGCCTCAAGGCTTGTCACGCTTGCGGAAAGAGAGTCTCGCAGCTCACCTCAAACGTGGGTGGACATGAATCCAAAGGACTTTGATCTGGGCAAAGTGTTTCTGCAACTCGGGGGACCGGAACCCTCCAATGGGGTGCCCTGGTTTCTCTTTGAAGCAACCACAAGGCAGGTGCACTCCAAGAAAGACACGGCCCATGTGACGCCTCGATGCGCACGGAGAGGTGAGCCGGAACGACACCGTGGAGCAGCTGAAGCGTGACCCGCCGCTCCGCCAAATCAGAGCGCTGGCTTCCAAAATGGGTATGGGTCAGAATAAGTCACCAGGAACTGAAATGGGCAGGTGTTCGTCCTTTCCCGTTGCCAAGCCATTTTGGGGTTGCCCTGTTTTTGACCCTGGCTTCCAAATGAGCAATCTAGACACCTCAGCTTGGCGCTTTGGAGGCGTGTGGGTGGCTTCACGTTTGGTGAACGTTCAGGAAACCGGGTGTTCTCCAAATCCGAGCCAATCCAGGGCAGGGAAAGTGGTCTTTTTTGGACCACCCTTCTGGGAACTTGTCCTCCAGGAAGCCTTCAAGAGAGCAGGTGTCCGAAAAGAAGTGTGGTTTGAAACAAATGGCAAAGAAAGAACTGAGAGCTACCGAAAGCTACCTGGAAAGAAGAATGGATAGAAAGAAGCCTTGAGCTGCCTGGGAATGTGGGGAATCAACCCCTAGAACGCCTTCACCCACCCCCCCATCCCACTTGGTCGCCCCTTTGCGTGTGTTTTTCTTTCGAGGGCACCAAGAACTTCGTGGGGTCGGTTTTTCGCATGACAACCAAACGGAGCACCATTTTCTTGCTGGGGCTCAGGGAATAGCTCTTCTGGGACTTGGGAATGAACTGGAAGGGGATTCCTCAGAGGAACCCACCAGTTGGATTGTTTGGCTCATTCCATTTCTCCTTTGCCTATCGAACCAGCAAGTGGCTGGTTTCTGGTTCTATGCACCAAACCAGCCAACTTGAACAAGCTCCCAAGAGAAAGGCAAGAGATGGCTGGCTGGGTTTTGGTTGGACGGATCGCAAAGCAGGAAGCCGATGACCATGTACCCAGCTCTTTGCGAGCAAAAAAGCAGCACGGAGGCTTCCAATCACAGGCCAGGGCCCTTTAAGGTGAGTTTCTGCCCATTCAAGTGGAGTTTCCCTTTGTAGGGGCCGTGATTTGAGGGGAAGCATAAGGAACCCTGTCATCCCCCAAAAAAACCGAGCTGCAGGTTCTGGGTGCACCGGCCCAGCCACGAGCTGGAGCTCGCAGCGGAGCAGGGCGTCGAGGAGAGATGCGTGGGACGTTGGTACCGTTGGGTTGGACACCTGTGGTCGTGGTGGCCAAATTGACCATTCTTTCTGGTCCTATGGTCCTATGGTCCTATGGTCCTATGGTCCCAGGGTCCTGTGGTCCTATGGTCCCAGGGTCCTGTGGTCCTATGGTCCCAGGGTCCTGTGGTCCTATGGTCCCATGGTCCTGTGGTCCTGTGGTCATGTGGTCACGGTTGTGGTACTACCATGTCCTTACAGAACTCCATGTCCAGCTCCTTGGCTCCCTCAAGAGGCAAATTGGATACCCCCCCAGGCTTCGAAACGGCTCTCTGCCAGCTGGAAAAGGAAAGCTGCAAAGCTACGATCTTGGGGAGTCCAACTCCCAACTTTCGAATCCAAGGTGCAACTGGTGCCGAATAATTTACTACTGGTTTCCTCTCCTCCTGCCTAAATTTGGTTTTGAACCACCTCATAACCCCATTCTAATTATTTGCAGGCCTGTAGTAGGTCCCTTACACAGGCCTCAGGGATCCCTGTTTTCATGTTTTGGAACTGTAGCATTGACAGATCCATCGTAGTGAAACAAACAGGAGCTCCATGCCGCGCTTGATTTCAAAGGCACAGCTCAGATCTCATTCAATCGAGTCTTGAAATGCTGAGGATTTCGGTGGCGAAGAAGTTTCATGCATAAATCTTAAGATTTCGACCCCAACCCTCCCGGGAAGCAGCCCGCAACCAAACTGTGTGGTGTCCAGGGTTGAGCAACATGTTCAATCAACCAGCCGCATTCGCAGGGACAGCAAAAGCATGTTCTCGAAACATTATCTACAAGGGTTAGCCCAGCCCTGGTGCATATAAGTTGTCCCGCGTAAGCAAGATGCACCAAAGGGTCTGTTTCCAATGATTCATACCTCGAGTAACACTGAGGATGGACAACCTCCTGCACCAGTTGGCCTGCTATGAAAACTGGAATAAACCGCTCCAAATTTCCTGTTTCAATCCTTCCTTGCATTGATTTGGACAGGGTTTCTTAAAGGATACGTTTTTCCTGTTCAAACAGTCACATTTGCCAGTTAATGTGGAGGACTTCCGCGTGAATCAGGCTTCTGTTGAGTGTATCGTTTGGGTGTTGCACAGTCCGGGGTTCTGGAGGAAGTTGTTTGCTGTCCGCTCAACTTCGCCTTGGTAGTGTGGATGGACGAAATCCATTTCGCACCACCTAAGAAACCCTGGAATGATATGATTCCCCTGTAAATACCAACAAACAATCGTTTCCCATGGTTTCTTTTCGTGGTGCGAACGGATTTCGTCCATCCACAGTAGCACAGCCATGGTTTTTCACAAACATCTTCGGAAACTTCGAGCCAGGAGTGGTGGAAGGGTGTGCGCAAGGCCTCCATGTTCTGGCGCCACAAGCCGCTGGAGGCGCGCGCCTTTTTCTTTTTTCTCTAGCGGCCAGGGTGGAATCACAAAACCGGATCGATGCTCTCTGCTCATGAACATTTTAGATGTTCCCTTTGTTGGTTTCAAAGGGAGTTCATCACTACTGGACATATGTTTCTTTTCCAGGGGGCTTGAGCAAATGGACTTGATCCTCTTTGATGACCAAACCACCATGTTTCTACATTTTCCGCCAGTTTCTTTGCCGGCCAAAGGCAATTGGCAGCGGGTCCTCTCGTTTCCCAAACTCCAGGAGCTGGGAGCACCCCTGATGGTAGTGGCTTCGCGAGGGGAGGTTGAAGTCACACAAGACCTGGGGTGTGTGGCTGGAGATGTGCCTACTCGTCTCAATGGTGGCGGAAATGATTGGCTGACATTGAAGGCGCCATGCACAACAGGGCCTATACAACTCCGAGCATGAACTTCCAAGCAGCAACATTTTTTGCCTCACAAGGGGGCGGGGAGTGACTTCATGTAGAAGAAACTATTTTAGGACATACAAGAGTTTCATGGCATTCCATGCTAACAGGAAGGGCATCATCCAATCCACCTCGATGGTAACCTTCATATGATTCCTTTCTTCACCCGACCCAGCCTCCCCTGCCCAGCCCAGCCCCGATGGTGTCATTCTTGCAAGCTCAAACTCCTGCTAGTTGGTGAGGACGATTGGCTGTCAGCCTTACTGCGCCAGTACGTGTCCAGATTCAACTTCAGCCTAGCCAGCTCCAGCACGTCAACTTTCTGCGTCACTTTGCTGCCAGTTCAACTTTTGCAGCAATGCTTCTGAGTGACTGGGATTCCACAAGTATAAAGCAAGTAAACCAGCCATACACCACGACAAGTTACAGGCGGTTCTTATTCCTACTTGCAATATAGGGAGAACAATTACCCAACAAACCATCATATCCAGCGGAATTTCAATTTCCCCGCAACTTTGGGCTCCGTTTGTCTCAGGTGAGTACTTCTCCCCATTTGGAGCACGTGAGAGCAAATGGCTCTGATGTTCAGTAGTGACCCACCTGGTGGTGAGTGGACAAGATTCCCCGGAAGGCAAAACGCACACACCCAAATTGGGAGCTGCCGATCCTTCCGTAGCGCATGGATGCCTATCCATTTGTCCGATTTGTCCGAGGTGCGGCGGCAGCTGAAGCGCTTAGACCTGGTCGGCGTCAGGGACTTCCTCCAAGTGCTGCTGGACTTCGCATCCGGCCGCCTCGAGTTCTGAAGCGCTCCGCGGAGCGGCGTGCGGGCACGGCGTTGATGCGGATGGTGATCTTGTGTAATGTACAAGTTGAGTAGGTTTCGTTGTTCCAACTGATTTGATGAACAGAGGCAACTTAGAGCTTGTGGAGTTTGATCCGCATTCGTCTGCTTGAGGCCATGTTCATAGCATCCAGACATTTTCAAGTCGCGTGAAGTCGCTTGCTTTGAAGCAATCGCACCCAATTCGTTGATCCTCTGGGTTGCCAGCCCCCTGCCAGTAGCGCGAAGGAAGGAAAGGGAAGGGGGGGTCTGGCAACCTAGGCCAAAGACAGAGCAAGGTGTTACCCTCCCATCGACGAACCTGGATCCCTAGAGGAGATCGTCTTCCCATCTCCAGGAAGGTTCCATGATAGTCGGCGGGAGGGTCTTGCCTGAGCCCTTGAGTCGGACACCTCGACGTGCTCAAGTGCAACTTCTTGGCGCCTGAGCTGTGAACTGACCGCTTTAAGCATCCAGGTGCCGTTGAGCAACTGAATCCTATCTGCCCAAATGCGCATCCAGTGCTTCCAGTTGCCATTTTCATGCAACCAGGTTGACTTTTCTCACCTCAAGGCTATAGACATGGTGGCTCCCAGCCATCCCTAAACTTTTAACGGGGGATCTGAGGGCGGCCCAGGTTTGCCTGGTTAGCTACTACAATGTCAACTGGCAGCACTGGGTCCCGGGGGAGAAAGGAGCTACCCTCCAGAAACTGGTCGGTGCCTGGAGCCGGGATTCGAGGTGACAGGCGCCGTGTACAGTCAGCGCCTGGGAAAAAGCGGGTCGCGCCAGCGCCAGCGCCCTGGTGGTTTGACCTTTGAATCGTCGAACCGTTTGGGCATAGATCTGCCTATTTCATGGCGGACTCTGGAGGCAACAAGGGCTCACCATGAAGGTCCTGTACTTGAGGATCCCCTGTTTGAAGCTTTGGAAGGAATCATTTTGGCATTGTCAACAAATGCAGATGAAAGGGTTTGTCTCAAAATGAGGGCCCCCCTCCCTCCCAAAAAGGGGCGTTGGTTTCTCTTTGGTTTCCCCTTGCACAAGCCAACCTCCAAATAGCTGGCGGGCCCGAGGTGTCCTGGCCAGAGGGTTTCCTGTTTTGGGGTAGGCCCGCCACAGGGTGGGCGGGTCCGAGCGCCTGCCGGTCTTTTGGACGCTCTGCCCATCTGCCCATTTCCAGACGCCAAGCCAAAGACCCTTCGCAGCGGCAAGCCAAGGGAAGAGCCAAAGCCAGGCTTCCAGGTGCAAGAATCCATTCGCAAGCTCAAGCTTACCTGAGAAAGCAAAGGTAAAGCTCACTCTTAGGTCCCTGAAAGAATAGCAAGCTGATGATGAAGGGCCCTCACTTGTGGACCCCTTGCTTCAGGTTTTGGAAGTCTTGTACACCAAAGCGTGCGGGTTCAAAGTCATGCAACACCCTTTCGGCGGCTTCAACCCCCATTCGAAACATCGCTCGAACAAGGCGGCGAAGGTTAGGTTTGTTTGAGGATCCCTTGAAGTACTCCCCTGAACGTGGAGCTCTTAAAAAAGGCCCCGAAGGAGATTGGTTTGAAGATGGCTTGTTGGGTTCCATGTTCGTCAGAAGTGTATCTCTCCCAAAAGCAAGCATGGAACCCTTCACAGTGGCCTGGAGGAAAACGGTCCAAAGGGGTCCTTTCAGGTTCCATGTTTGTTTTTAGGGGAGGGGAAGACGGTTTCGTGGCCAAACCCTTTGCCCAAGTGGACCCACAGTCGGAAAGGACCGCCGGCTCGCCGTGAAACAAGGGCCAAACACCAAATCCACATTTTGTTTTGTTCGCCGAAACCCATCTTTTGATTCAGTTGCTTCCCCATGTTCCCCATTTTCCCTATTTCGCCTTTTGGTTCCACTCCCCCCCAGACAAACCTCACCCACTCGCCCGCTCGCGTGGCGGAGGTGGGCTACTATTCCGTGCCCAGCTCCCAGCAGCCGCCCCTCATCCGGGAGATGGACATGGGCTCTGTGAGGCGGGAGTCGACATGGCGGGAGTCGAGTCCGGGGCTTTGCTGCCGGTTTCCCTCTTTGGTGGGTTTGATTCTTCTGTTCTGTGGAAAATGTTCGGATCGAAGATATGCAGCTATGTATGTGTAACATATATATGTACCTATGCATAATTGTAGTGGCTTTTACAAGAAGCTTGCGTGTTCCTTGAAAAGGCGGTGAGGGCAGCGACAGTCTTTGGTTTGCGCCACTTTGTTTTAAATGCTGGGTTTTGTTGGTCAATCGGAGTGCATAGTTCAGATGCTACAATTAGTTTTTTTAATGGGTTGGCATGGGTGAACACAGAGCTAAGCTTTCAGGCAAACCATGGCAACCTGGGGGCTGAAATAGGTGTAATCCTTTTGCCAGAGAAGGGTTGAAACGGCCCAATGTGGCTGTGGGTCAAAAATGGGTACCCAAAATACAAGCCTGGTAAATGGAACCAAGGACTCAAATCCCCCTGGTGGTTTAATTTTGACTCATACCCATGTGGGGGCTCAGGTGGCATCGGTTTCAGCTGCATCTCTGAGAGTTGAGCTATGGGATTCCCCTTGGCTAATGTTCTACTTTCGGGGTCCGAAAGTGTCCCTCCAGACATCGCATCTAAATAAACGCGATGATTCAACCAATATCAAACCGTTGGCAAGGAGGGAGGGAAGGGGGGAGGGAGCCTGAATATGGCCCACATAAGGCTTTGTTTTTAAGGGTTTTTTTCAGAGCGAATTTGGGCCCGGCTGGCGTGTTCGGCCGTTTGTTTGGTTTGGTTTGGTTTGGTTTGGTTTGGTTTGGTTTGGTTTGTTTGTGTCTTTATTTCTTTGCTTGTTTGGCTGCGGCCGCGCAGAATGGCAAAACGTTGAATGCACCTTCTGAGAATTCACGTGGAACCTTTGGAAGCCCCCATTCCCTCTCTCCATGCGGCAAATGGCAAATGGACTTGGCTTTGTTGGCCGACGTTAAGTTGTGGGCAAAGCACTCGCCAAGAGATGGACGTGTTGTTTTATGATCCCAAGGGCTGCGAAAGACACACATCACTCACGTCACTGGACGCGATGCCATGAGAGTTGTGCCAGGGCCAGCATCAACTTGGGCTTCAAGGTTGGTTGAAGACGTTCGGTGCAACCCAGGCGAGGAAGGGATGAGGAATGACTTTAGCCAGTTTTGTGGAACCCAGGGAGTTCCTTGCAAGTGATGAAGTAGTACTAGGAGCCATTGCCCAAGGGCAATTGCCCGCAACCATGGATGAGGAAGTGGTCGGTGACCAACAATTTTGAGAACACACCTCTGCAGGCAGGTTTGTCAGGGTGCAGCGCCAATTTTTCTGTCCAGCCCTTGCAAACCACTTGTGAAATACAATTGTGTGGCTCAGTCCTTTCCACTCGAGCATGAGCTCAATCCTGATGAAAGGCCCAATCACCTGGAGAAATCTTGACACTACAAGCGCTTTGCGCACGCTGAAGCAAGGCAGGTGGTCAAGCAGCAGACGACAACCTAAAGCACTGTCCCCTGTAGCCATGTTCATTGTTCATGGTCCGAGTTTGCGATTCCGCGATGGGACGGAGCCGACCCGCCAGATGTTCAAGTCTCCTCAAATTGTCGATTGAACAATTTGAAGTTTCCTGGCATCATCCTTGGAAGCCAACATCAGGAACCACTCGTAGATGTGCCTCAGCAGTCCTTGAGCGAAACTAAAGCGAAACTCTATCTCCCTCGGTTCTGTGTCCTCGTTTGCTTTTGGTCTGGTAGATGTTTGAAGGTTTTTTTGCTGAGAGAGCAGGGTTTCCAGCGTCTCACCAAAGCAACGGGTCTGGATTTCGAGCCTGGTGAGACTGATGGGCTAATTGTAGAGGTGCCGTGTATCAACTCAAGGCCAAAATTCATGAACAACTGGCGCAGATCATCGACAGCGCTGTGGTATGCAATAAATGGGCCTGAGGAACCTCTGAGGGGCCTTTGTTTGTGAAACGGGGCATACAACATGTGTTTCATCAGGGCGTGCTGTGAATGATGGCTTCCCTCAAGATCTGGTGGGCACCGCTATTGGTGCCATTAGTCTGCAAATTTGATAGCGAGCTGGGGCTTACATGAGTTCATGATGGTGTAGGTTCTTTACTTGGGGGAAGCATCTTATTCAGGTTTTGGAAGAGAGATAATAATCAACCTGCCGATATTTGTAAAAAGTCCACATTGACACCTGGTTCTCTACTGCCTCGAGTCGTGACAAAATGGGAAAGCAGGTTGCCAACCTTGTCACACCCTGACGCCCCAAAGACACAACCCCAAATACACCCCTTGAAGACTCAATTTGACCAACTCTGGAGGTGTGTTTGGGGTGTTTGTTTGGGGGGGGGGGGGGCTGTCCTATTGGCCGATTGAAGTCATCAAGTTCAGCCCATTCCGGAGCCAGCGACTTACCCCAAACTCCTCTGGAGGTTCCCTTATAGGCCGGGGGGGAGGGGGTGGCGGGCCAACTTTCCTTGTTCCGATTTTTTTAGTAGAGTAACTTTTGCATCGGCGAGGAACATGAACTGAAGGGTAAGGACATCGGGTGTCAACATTGCAATGACAATCAACGGCATCGTCTCCTGGCGCATGACGGCTTTTGCTGTTGGGGATGGGCTAGTAAAGGTTTGACCCGAAAGTCATGGCCGTTGGCTCACAACCCGAAGCCCCTATTTGCTTTTGTCTTTTCGGACCCCCTCATCATATGACTGCCATTCGCCAGGACACATTGAACCAGCCTTCGCGAGGCACTGGTAGTGTTGACTACCCTTGTGTTTCCATTCTGTAGCTCTCACATAAGTGCAGCGCCTGGTTCGTCGGTAGGGGCGCTTCGAAGATCGGTTCCGTTGGATTCAAACGAACAGCGAGCATAACACGCATGAAACCCGCCCACAGAGCATTCAGAGAGAGGTAGAGAGACAGACATGTACATGCGCGCACACGTGCACAAATAAGCATACATCGATTCCAGCATGAAGGAA